AAAAAAAAAACTTATATCAACTCCATGAACAAACTAACAAAATGAGTTGCTTACCAAAAAAAAAAAAAAAAACATAACAAAAGGAGTTTCATGTTGGGACAAGATGATCACCTTCATCCCAACCATCACTACATATCAGTGTAATGAGAACTACAAGTAGAATGGAAAAGAGCATCAAAAGCAATTTGGAACCTTTCTTCCAACGGCTGACCTCGTTGCTAGACTTCAGAATTTCAATTTTCATAACGGGAACTACCTCATGAGACACTTTGCAGATCACCATTAGCAGGACTATTATTTGTTGATGATACAGATTCAGAGACACCTTCATAGTGCTCATCATCATTGCATAAACTTTCCTTCCCATTAACCTCATGCATTAGTTCATGTTGAAAACCATTTTGCCTTTGGGATGGGTGGGATTGGAATCTTCCAGAGGATGGACTTCTGAACCTCATTGTTTGTTTTTCAAAGAAGTTTGAGTTAACAATATTAGGGTCCTGTAGTGAGTGAATTAGCTTCCTTGGAGTGGGGAAGATGTTAATGTCATCAACGTTAATATGACATCGTGACCTCTGAAATATATGATGAGCAACCAAATCAATGCCAAAAAAAGGAAATTGTATTGCAGTACAATTTGGTAGCACTAGTTGGCACAAAATATAATGAAATAAATTTGAGTAACAATTCGGAAGGACAAATTTGTCTGATCTTTTAATCTCTGAAGTTCGAAATTCTATGGACCGAAATGTAAATCTTACGTAACTTTTGAGTTTCTTATGCATTCTGGGCAAAGGTTCTAGGGCATTGCGGGTCACGCCACTTACACACTTCACTTCAGAGTTGCTCTGTTTTCCTCCATTTCTCGATTAGGGTTGGGTACTGCGAGGAAGAAGAAGAGGAAGGAGAAGAAAAATTAATGAGGGAATAGCAAAAATGGGGTTCTCAATGCAGCCATACGGGATTCAGGCTATGCTGAAAGAAGGGCACAAGCATCTCTCTGGTCTTGAGGAGGCAGTTCTGAAGAATATTGATGCTTGCAAGGAGCTCTCTGCTATCACACGCACTTCTCTAGGCCCTAACGGTACTTGTTTCTCTTTGATAAACCATTTTCTAAATCAATAACTGCCTTTTCGATTCATTTGATTTCTCTAAGTTTAGTTTTTCTTGTTCTTGTTTGTTAAGGGTTTAGCGTAATATAGCTGATCTACTGCAATTTAGGGTTTTGTTTCATTTTTCGTGTGTGGGTTGCATGATGTATCAGAAGGAGCAGTCCCTAATTTCTAATTTTAAGCTATACACTAATTGGGTTTTTTTTTTTTAACCTGAATGGTGCTTAGTTGTAACCATTCTATTAAGCAATATTTGCTAGATTTTTTTTTTTTTTT